TTGTTACAGGCTAAGTAAAATAAGTACAGTCCTTAGTGGTACTGGTATTTGGACTGAGCTGTGGAAGTTAAATTAATTTTAGTGTAATTACTCTCAGAGAGGCGGTTAGCTTTGCACGGTTATGGTGACAACCGCCGCCGCACAGCTAGCTCGCTAACCTTCTAATTAAGACCAATATTAATTAATGAAACACACTTTTTGTAAATTAAATATAAGTTTCAAACTATATGTAGTCGTAGGAAGTCACGACCCTTGAATATTATATTCGATTCATTTATAACTCCATTCATTTAATGTACGAAAAAGACTGAGCAGTTATCATTTGTTTTGCATTTTAGGCACAGTTTAGTTTTTATAAATGGATTAATGTAATCATATTGGTTACGGTATATCACAATTTTCTATATTAATTTAGCCTAAAAAAATTAAATTTGGATTTGGAATTTAAATTTGGAACATGCACAGTTTTATTAAATAAAAGTGTCTGTCTGACTGCGGTTTACATACTTCAGTCATAGATTGTTGTTTATGTAAATAATTTAAATTTATTGTAACTTATTTTTCTAACTTACTTTTTAAAGATCTTTAATTTTATAATGTTTTTATAATCAATAATATAATAGTTTTTCTAATATGATATGTATACTTGAATATTTAGGTAGAACAGGAGTTATCCGGTAGTTCAATTTCAACCATAATTCAACACCTATTATTTTATATCACCGGGCCAATATAACTTTGAATCATCTTTCATCGTATTTACCTTCCGTGCCATGATACCTCAACATATACTCATACTGTTTTTTTGTAAAAAATTTGTAGCCGTTTTAACATATTATTCAAATCACAACATAATCTGATTAATATTACTAGCGTGTGATTCTTGTGCATTTAATACTTAAATTAGGTATGATAAATGTCATATTTCTAAATAAATTAATCCTTTACTTGTTTTTAAAATGAAACATTATAATAACCTCTTATCTATATATATAGAAATGGCAACTTTAAGCAAAATTTTACAGATTAAACCACAAGCAATACTTACTTATTCTTTTGTATATATCTAATGGCAGCTAGAGTGTAGTGCAGTAATTCATAATGTTATAATGAATACACCTTTACCTTTTAGAATATACTACAAAAGCAGAATATTGTATTGGCCATCATTTGAGGCACGAATCGTCGTCGTGCCTACATGTTGCTTCTTTAAAATTGAACATAAGATGTATATCAATTATGAGACAGAAACAACACAAAAGTTGTATCGTCATTTATGAAACTAGTAACTATCAGTGGTAACTTTATTATATTAAATTAGAAACAGGATTATTACAGTGGACCCTAATATTATAAAATAATTTTACTATAGGTACACGATACCTATAGTAAAATTATTTATTTTGGAATAGACGTTTGCTAAGATCGTGATCTTTGTACATTAAAATATAAACACTTGTACGTGAAGGAACATCACATATGTTGTACAATACAACCATACAAATATATTCTTGACAATCTTGCCGTATCATAATGTAGTTAAATATAAGGTGTTTTATATTATATTTTATTTGTATTTATAAACGTAATAAGTATTTAAAACTAATAAATAATGGTTTACCAACCACCAAAATAAGTAGGTAGTAAACATTTAAAAAAATACAACTTTTAGCATCAAGAATCGTGTATTCTGTCTTCAATACATATCATCATCATCAGCCTATCGCAGTCCACTGCTGGACATAGGCCTCTCCCATTGCACGCCACTTAGATCGATTTTGGGCTTCTCGCATCCAGCTCCTGCCAGCCATCTTGCGCACATCGTCACTCCACCTGGCCTGTGGGCGTCCTACACTACGTTTACCGAGACGCGGTCTCCACTCGTCTCGTCTCCACTCACAAGAACTCGTTTTCCCCAACGGTGGTCGGTTCTGCGGCTAATATGGCCAGCCCACTGCCACTTCAGCAATAATACAAGTAAGTACAATGTAAATTACATTACATTACTTCAATACATATAAGTACTTATTACTCATTTAACTGGCCGCGCTTTGTGAACTTAGTATATGATCCTTAAAATGCAAGTTTTTATTACCAGCATTGCAATTGGGAATTGAAGTAATACATTGTTGGTAATTACCTAGACCCTTCGATTACAAAAAAATTTTTGCATATTGGCCCAAAACTAACGGAGATATCGCGTAACAAACATACAAAAAATACAGTCGAATTGAGAACCTCATATTTTTTTTATCTTTGAAGTCGGTTAAAAGGAATATCTAGAGACATATTTACTTATCACGTAGAAATACAAACGTAAAATAAGTCTGTCTTTGTATAAACTCAAATTGAATTCATAAGTCAACATAGGAATAATGTTATACCAGCAAAGCATACAATATTGTTGAAATATACTCTTTTCAGAATATTTAACTTAATATGAGTATCTACCTACCTACGTTTTAATCTACTAAACCATTTGTAACATGAAATAGTAAAAATATTTCGTACCGTTGGCATTTTAGGTGAAAAAGCGTTGACAAAGCCAGGTCTACCTTAAGCACTAACACAACAATGAGAACGTACCCTATATATAAATAATATCATAAATTGTATAGGCATAATAAATAGGGTTTGATAATGCAAACCGGACGAGGCGAAATTGATGTTTATTTGTGAAGCAGTAGAACATTTGGCAGGAAAGCAATTAAGCTCTGGGACCGCTACCTATTTCAAATTGGACAATGTTGTCAGATCAAGTATCTGTCATGAATACTTATTATTAAAACGCACTCAAGTGGTAACAAATTCCATCGTTGTAATGCTTTATTTAATAATGACTTTGATCATACACCTGTTAGGGTAGATAATCGAGTGTGAATCCTAGTGGAAAATAAATCCTCTTAGATCAGTCTCGCAGGTATAATGTAAGTATTGTTACAATTGAGATAGATTTAATCAAAATATTTCCTTGCTTCGTCTTATTTAAAATAACATGGCAAACAAATAAAAGGTAATCAGTTAGAGGTAGTCTAACTATTATACTACATTTACGAGTATACTTTAATGCTACATATTTAGGAGATCAATTTCAGTAAGTAAAATTATGTACGCAAAACATAAAATTTTAATAAGGATAGAAATTAGGGACGTTCCTATAAAAATAGGTCAAAGATATCAACTCTGGGTCGGTAGCTTTTAATCCTTTAAAAACCTCTAGGAACTGTAAGCGTTGACGTCTCCCGGGCCGTAATAACACTAACTCTTATAAACTGGGATTATACCACTCTCCGTAACATGACTTAAATTCGAATATGCACTTGCTTAAAAATGCTGCATATTTTGAGAACATTGCTTACAGACGGTGTTTAAAGCGTATAGTATAATCCTTAACTATGTAGTTAACTGGGCAATTAGGGGCAGAAGGTTCTTCTTTACAAAGGCAATAAAATTGTTAAAAATAGATTGAGAAATGTTGTTTATAGAATTTTTGTCAATTTAAGTGACTCTGTGTTAACTTAAATTTGACAGAATCGAATCGTAAACATTACGAGCAACGGTAACCCTATATCCGCTCTTGTATGGATCTCTATACACCATTCATACCAAAAGAAAGATATCATATCTTCGCTACCATCATAATCAAACCATATTATATCGATAAATTGAAAATACACTATAAGGTTCGTGATCCGAATTTTTATAGGCACAATATGGTGACTAAGGTAGACTGGGAGAAAATGCCAATGGCATTAAGTCCGCCACTGTACAACTCTTACTTGTGGAAAAAGTATTAAAATGAAAATAAAATAAATAGGATAAATTAAACAGAAATCACATTTAGTAAAAATAATAATACATTTAGTACTCAGGAAAAGCAAGAAAGAAAAAGTAATACCTAAAGTATTATATTTTTTTAAACATTTAAGTTGCTTCTAAATCGCGACTTCTCTGATCTCTTATTCTCTGACATTCAGACAGCTATAATAAGAAAACGCCCTCTTTCTCCAAAAAAACATATTCCTTAAAAGTGATAAATAAAATATTACACACTATTCTAAGTCATCATATATATCATATTTCATTATGGCCCGGAGCATCGATTTTTACAAAGTGAGTTTTAACCCAGTCTAAGAAATTAAAATTTCTCCAACCAACAAAAGCAATTATGTGTATCTTAAATTGAACATCAACCCTAAAAACGATTAATATTTCAAAGAAAGCTCTTTGATTTATTTGGTAATTATAGTCAGATTAACTGCTATCTAATAAATAAAACAATAACGCCATGTTTCTACGCCGACAAAAATTTCTGGAATGCAATATTATACAGATAGTGAAGTTGGGGAATCGGATTTGCATAAACATGCAATTAAGCCACGAAAGGGACGTCCTTACTTTGATAATATTGAAGAAGAGACTACGTTCATTCATAATTTAATATTAACATTAACACTAATCATATCTATATACATATATACCCAAACGTGTCTCGAGTAGTTGAATTTTAATAAGTTGCCGTAATAATGGGTTTTATATCAAACCTGGGCGTCCAGTCATTAGCAACGCAAAATACATAAGGTTCTACTTCAACAAATTAGCTTCCGCAATAGCGCTTCCTTCCTTTGAGTTTAACATGTCTGTCATGTTCTTAGTTTATATCAATTTTATCAGACTGGGGTATTTGTGGTTTTTATTAAGAAACAATAATAATAATATTCTATTCTGGGAAACAGAAGCGGATTAAAGATAAAAAAAATAAGACAAGTAGGAATCTTTAACTTAATTTACTTTTTACAATAATCAACCTAAAAATAACCCAAAAACGAAACAAATCGACTGCACAGAAATACAAGAGATCTTTAACTAACTACGTCACCATATCACACACACGATACACTAAAATGGCTCAGGTGTCCACCAATACTAAGTCCGAGAGATCCGTCCGCGTCGAGCGCCAACGAGCAGAAAAAGGGCTGTCTTCGGTCTGCGTCTTGCTTTTATAGGCGGCCGGTCGGTTGTGAGGTGTCACTGTCAGACTCAGCTAACACGGCCTCTCCTGACAGGCGGTCGTCCTCGACCCGCGAACCTGGTGCGGCACCGCTGGAACTGGCGGCGCCACTTGTTGAGGGACCGGCTCCAGAGTCATCGTCTAGCAGAGGCATGGAGAGGTCTGGTCCTTGTGCTGCGAGGATGGGCTGTGATTCCTCGGATTCATCGTCTGAAAACATCGTATAAAACACATTAGGAATAGGCATCACCATTCGTATGTCATGCTACCTAGGCAAGCATTCTCCTTTCATAATAGCTCTGTCACTTAATTCATTCAGCACACAGTAAACATTCACGCTCGATCTCACAAAATTTACCTCAGGGATATCCCAAAAATATTAAAATAGGGCCCTTTTACACTTATTATCCACGGCGTGGTGTCAGCGATTGCACCTCGCCTGCAAGCTGTTTTTCTTGCTGGGGCCGACCGACGACGTGGCAAACCCACACGGCACATACGTCCCTAACCAGTCCATACTGGTTCCAGGCTGACGCACTATGCGCCCTCCTGAAGACGATCGAATCGTCTACCCACTAGTGTTACACACATGGTGAGTCTGCCGGTCGCCGAAGCGAGACCAATACGCATCGAATGATACGTCTGCCGGTCGCCAAAGCGAGACCAATACGCATCGAATGATACGTCTGCCGGTCGCCGAAGCGAGACCAATACGCATCGAATGATACGTCTGCCGGTCGCCGAAGCGAGACCAATACGCATCGAATGATACGTCTGCCGGTCGCCAAAGCGAGACCAATACGCATCGAATGATACGTCTGCCGGTCGCCGAAGCGAGACCGCGCACGTTTAACACGCGCTACCCAGTACCGCTCGTCCACTCCTATCTCCATGCCACTCACAAACCCGCCGTCGGCCATTCGCTAGCTAACCCCAGTGTTATAACGAAATTAAGATGACTTAGTGTACCTAGCTCTAAAGTGTGGTGAGTAAGACGTAATTTTATTGCAAACGGGTTAGGAATGGCAGCCTAAGTGTTAACCATTAAGCACGAGAATAGTCGCCGACGTGAATGTTAGCGACATTTAAGGATCAGAGCAAGGACAAACGAATACTCGCTCTCGAAGAACGCAGCACACGTCTCCGGACACCACTCCCCTCGCCATGGCACCATGTATTGCGCCGCGGCCTGCGTTTTCTTGCCATAGCTCCCGCTTAACAGCGTTAGCTCGTAGCGACCACCCGGTAGTATGCTGACCACTTTGTAGGGGCCGCGCATTCCCGGATCTAACTTTCCTGTGGACTGAGAGAACTTTATAACGAAGACCAAATCGCCAAGGGCGAATTCACGGGGAGTCCGTCTGTTTCGGTTTACTTGCTCATCTTGTCGGGACTGGTTTTTTCTTAAGCTCTCGCTAGCTCTGCTTCTGGTGATCTCGCGCAGGGCTTCACGGTTAGGTTTCGAGTTATCGGCAGCTATATCACGCACGACTGCTCGAATGACTGGTGTCGTAGCGTCTGTACCGACCAGAAGGTTGAGAGGCGATGTACATGTCGACTTTTGTTTGGTTATGTTTAGAACTAACTGAAGCTTCCACAAAACTTCTGACCAAGACGAGCCTTTATGGTTGCTTTGAAGAAGCCAAAGGCTCTAAAGACGATTGAGCAGTTTTTGATTTATTAGGGCAATTAGATCTAATATGACCCTTTTGTCCGCACGTGTAACAAGCCTTGTCACCGTTATTAACCGACCTCCCTTGATGAAAACGTTTTTGAGGTATGATTTGGGAACACTTATCGTTATTGGATTTAACAGGTTTCGAGTATATCGATAAAAACGACACAATTTTATCAGATGTTAGTTGTGCGTTGGCAGCAGCGGCCCGCACCTGGGCATCGTCAATGCCGCGTATCACAATAAGCGTTCTCAAATCCTCGCTCAAACCTGGAACTATCCTAAGCCGTAGCAAGGTGCGACGTGCGTACTCGGCATACGTTGTATACTTATCAGAGGTGGTTTTCATAGCCTCAAAGAGGATATTGGCGAAGTCTAGTCTACTGGGGCAAAGGGGCGTAAATTCTTGCCTAAAGTTAGACCAGGTGCGGTCGTTAGTCACCCACTCGGCTAGCCAAACCTTAGCGTCACCCTTGAGGCAAGAAGCAACGCGAGACAAACATTCGTGATCACTCCAATTATTTGCGTGTCGAGCCCGTTCTACCTCCTCACACCACGTTTCAATGTTGTGTATCGCCGGATCAAAGTTGGATACGAAATAGTTGTGGGACGTCTTAGATCGCGAGGTGTTAATAGCTTCAATAAGAGCTTGTGCAAAGGTGGATGCTTCAGAGCGCTGAACGGACTCGACGGAATTTCTAGTAACTCCTTGAGCTTCTACGTGGGGTCTAGATGGAAGCGGGGGTGTACGTGATTTTTCGAAAGGGTTTTTAACAACGCGGTCTGTCGCGGGTAGTTGGGGAACTGGTGACCCATCGTAACCGTGATGACACTTTTGGTAACTATCACGGCGACCTACTTCCTTACACCTACGGTCGCCTGGCGACTTGCGGGAACTCGGGCGTCGGTGGCGAGGGTGGCTATCACTCAATGAGTGCGAGCTTGAGCGCGACCTGGACCTAAACCTATCGCGTGTCCGAGCCCCGTCCCTACGATTGCATCGTGACGCCCGACAACGGGATGAACTTCGCGATTGAGACCGCAGTCTGCTACGACGCATACTGCCTCGAGAACTTTTACGTGACAAACTGCGCGAGCGGTGTCGCCTCCGGACACGTGAGCCACTTCTAGAGCGATGTGGTGACCGACCACGCATTATTAATCGTGGCATTTTTAAAATAACAAATTAAAAGTACTTACGTGATACCACACAGCCGTAAATAACCAAAATTGTGACTTACGAAAATTATCGCGAATGTGGGTAGATTTGTTTCTCTTTGGTGAATTTGTCGTGGGTTTGTATTGGCTCTTTATCCCACTTCTGATCTGGGAAACAGAAGCGGATTAAAGATAAAAAAAATAAGACAAGTAGGAATCTTTAACTTAATTTACTTTTTACAATAATCAACCTAAAAATAACCCAAAAACGAAACAAATCGACTGCACAGAAATACAAGAGATCTTTAACTAACTACGTCACCATATCACACACACGATACACTAAAATGGCTCAGGTGTCCACCAATACTAAGTCCGAGAGATCCGTCCGCGTCGAGCGCCAACGAGCAGAAAAAGGGCTGTCTTCGGTCTGCGTCTTGCTTTTATAGGCGGCCGGTCGGTTGTGAGGTGTCACTGTCAGACTCAGCTAACACTATAATATAATATTCTACCACATTCACACAACGCCATCTAGTCCCGAACTAAGTAGAGGTTGTAAGACAACTGATATAAATACATATATACTTTTTTTTGTAAATGCTAGGCATGCCTTTTAAGTTCTGTCGTTTCCATATTTCCCGGCAATTTTGAATATGGAACTGTTCTATATTCGAATGTGTTTAAATTTTGAATCTCAAAACAGTTGAAAGTATTAGGATTAATGCTATTGTTTAGTCACAGCGTCGATTGGAATCTGTCAGTTTACGTACGAAAATGAATCTTTCTAAGGAAAAAATTCGTGCAATAATTTTCTACAACTTTAGGAGAGGCCTGACACGGCTTCAGTGTTTTGAAGAGCTAACATCTGTGTTCAGTGATGAAGCCCCATGTCTGCTTACTGTCGAAAGCTGGTATTTAGAATTCCAGCTTGGACATTAGTATGTCCACGCTGGAATTCTAAATACCAGCGTGTCAGGCGGTGCACACTAGTGTGTTAGTGACAAATCTCGCGAAGGACGCCCAAAATCCGCCTTCACTGAAGATAGCATCATTGCTGTGAGACAACTAATTCTCGAAGATCATCATGTGACGTATCGAGAGATAGAGCCTCTATTATGCATCTCAGGGACAACCATTCAGAAGATCTTGCAGAAAGCGCTTGGTGTGGGAAAGCTAGTTTGCCATTGGATACCGCATCTGCTTTCCGACGACCACAAGGCGGCCCGCGGCAGATGGTGTAAGAAAACTCTGCAAAGGTTCAACCGAGGAGAGTCAAATCACGTCTTCGACATCATCAGTGGTGACGAATAACAATCTACAATCTGGGTCTTTCAAGACGAGCCAAAGCCGACTAAAGTTGTTCGTTCTCGAAGCACTTCAAAGAAGATGGTGGCCACGTTCGTTGGAAAAACCGGCCATGTTGCGACTATTGCACTTGAAGATCGTAGAACGGTTAAGGCAGAGTGGTATACCACAGTTTGTTTTCCACAAGTCATCGCCGAACTTCGAAAATCTAACTCAAAGCGACGCCTCATTGTGCACCACGACAACGCAAGCTCACACAGCGCTCGTCAAACGATTGAGTATTTGAAGCAGGAAAAAGTAGAAATTCTTGACCATCTTCCCTACAGTTTTGACCCTAACGATTTCTTTACATTTCCTAAAATTAAGAAAAGTCTTCGTGGTCAAAGGTTCCAGTCCGGTGAAGAAGCAGTCGACGCTTTCAAGTCAGCCATTTTGAACACCCCCCACTTTAGAGTGGAATAATTGTTAAAATAACTGGTTTGAGCGAACGGAAAAGAGTATTAAGTTACGTGGTGAATACTTTGAAAAACAATAAAAAGTACTATAAGGTTCTAGTTGTGTTTTTTTTTCTTCAAACGACAAAACTTAACGTAGAAATTGTTCTAGAAATTTTATAAAAAAATCGTTGTTCTTTGCCTTTGCCATTTTGCCAACATACTTACATACATTAATAGTCATGAAAGTCATTTTTCTGATATAAGATTATTTTTGGTATTCGTAAAAAAATATACAACAAAAAATTAGATGCTTTACATATAAGTATTATGTTAATTTAACACTTCCAAAGATTAAAGGTGAACCTTTTCTTTTACAGAGAGATAAAAAGACACGGTGGGACGGATTAAGAATACGGAGAGTCACTACCCCTATTTATCCCGTGGGTGCCGTAAAAGCCGACTAAGGGAGCAAACTACGCAGGATAACAACACTGCAAAGAGAAAGAAAACTTGACACAAACCCTATACCAACCCGTCTGGCCAGCATGATTTAGTACGTCAAAACCTCCTTCCTAAGGACAGGCCTATGTCCAGCAGTGGATCATTAAAGGCTGTTGATGAAACAGACACGGAAAATATTCATGGTTCAAAAAATATTTTTGTTTGAAAGGGCACGATTTTCGTTAGTTCGTTCCTTTTTTAATGAAAATTTTGCAAACATAATGACGAATAATGCTATTTAAGAACTTGGTAAGATATAACGTAATAGTAATATATGGTATCTTCTTTAAGTCAAGAAGAAGGTAATTTTTTAATAATTTAAAAGGGCAATAGTTCATCCAATTTTTAAGGGTGGTGACAGACACAGTGTAAATAATTACAGGCCTATATCCATTCTACCAGTTATGTCCAAAATTCTGGAAAAAATAATCAACAATCGTTTAGTGGACTATCTTTAATCACAGGATATCCTAGCACCAAATCAGTTTGGTTTTAGAAAAGGAAAGTCTACAGAAGATGTCGTTGCCTCACTTGTGGATCATACTGTAGCAAAGCTAGATAATAGTAAGAAGTGTCTAGGTGTTTTCCTTGATATTTCAAAGGCGTTTGACACTGTGTCTGTGCCGCGCCTGCTCTCGAAGTTGGAAAACATTGGTATTCGTGATCTGAATCATAAATTGTTCCGGGACTATTTAAATGACAGAACCCAACGTGTTACCATAAATGGACTATTAAGTGACACTAAATCCCTGTCTTTTGGGGTCCCACAAGGTTCAATTTTGGGGCCGACGCTGTTTTTAATTTACATTAATAGCCTCTGCAAGCTCAGACTACCAAACTGTTG